AGAAGGCAACAGTAGGTGTGCCAGCAGCTTGACAATTAACTGCGAGGAATCTAAGCAAAATCCATTTTAATGCAAAATCAACACTCTTCAAGGGTTTTTCCAAAGTTCTTTGTATTTATTTTGGTTGATAAAAACTAAGATTTGATGGAGGGAGGAGGAAATGAGTTGCTGAACCACAAACTCAACTGAAAATTCAGACCAGACCGAGCTTGACTGGGCGCTAGGGAAGCCGGGAGGTGCTCATACCATTTACCACTACGTTCACATTGTGAGCACCCCGTTCAAGAAGTTACAAATTCCCAAATATCCCGGTTGAGGTATAATTATTTTTCACTTCTTTAGTGTAGATTTTCCTTTGAAAAGAGTTCCCTACCTTAGAATAAGCGGAGTATTATCCTTGCTAAAGATCTTTCAGCCTCTTTAGAATAGGGCATTTAGATTACTGGAGACAAAGTGAGTATCTTGAATGCTCTGTGTCAAGGCACAAACAAACGGCACAGAAACGGTAGTACAGTACAGAGTGAAACCTGACAACTCAGTGTTAAAGGAAAGGAATGCTACTGTATGGTTCGATTGTGATCAACTTATCTTCAAGTGGGTTTATTAGCAATTTAATGGAATATTGGTTATTCAAGAGCTATAATAGCCCCAGTTGAAATGTCCCTTCTGCGCCGTTTTCCCATACCCTGTGGAATGAGCAGAATGTGACAGTCAAGCTTTCAACAGGCTTCATGAATTTTAAATACTTTTCAGCTGTGAAATGGGGCACATGGCGTGTGGTCAAGGGTGAACAAGGAGCTGGCAGCCGCTGGGGGTATTATGGGATATTGAGTGTCTGGGAGATAATGAATGCTTGGCTTATCCAGGTGCATTCTTGGCCTGCTGTGCATGTCCAGGCAGAATGGAATATATTTCTCTGTCCAACACTTAACAATTGATCATTTTGTGATTGTAAGCAGAAAGTATTTACAACGTTACTTTCTCAGCATGCCTGCATACAACTTAAATTTCATGTCATAGTCTTTATCCGGCAAAACCTTCACTGTTTTTCTGTAACAACGCATTCATGCTGCTTAAACTTTTCCACTAACCTGCTTTTATGCTTAGTGGATCTTAGTGAGCCTTTTCTTCTGGCGACTTTAAATCTCCATCTTTTTAAGCACCTTTTCTTTTTTTTGCTTTTTTTTTTTAATTTGGGTTGAAATTTCAGCCCAACTTTCTGTAGCAAGTGAGCAGGTTGCTGGCTCCTGTTTTGTGGGAAATGGTGTCCCTGCATTTTGAATGCTAAGTGGTAGAAGAGAGGAAGGGGAAACCCAGGCGTGGTTTACTGCTGGTGAGCTGCATAGAGTTTTTCTCATGCGCTTTGATTCTGCTTAGCTATTAAAACACAACATGGTCCAAGGACATCCAAATTAATTAATTTTAACTGCATGTACCTGGAAGAGGAGGTTGCCGCTTGACCCCCCAAGACTTGCCAGGCTGGAACTCCCCTCCTGCGCAGCCGAGAAGCTTTTCTGGGACAAGAAGCCCCGGAGGCCACCTGCCACTTTCTGCTCCTCCTCCTCGTGCCAGTCCCTCTCTGTGCTGTCCCTGGTCCAGCTCTTTCCATGTTTCCTCTTCCCCATTAATCCCTAGTGGTGCTGTACTCACCCCAACCGCAGGTCACTCTCTAGGGGCAATGGACATTCGGCACCAGGTACCTCAGCTCTAGGCACACAGTTTGTGACTATTTCAGTAGTAGGGCAGTAAGTGGGTTTGGATCCATAATTAGCAGAGTGTGGGCAATAACGAATGGGATAATTACCCGTGTGGCCCTTTCTGAACTCCATGGTTCATAAACTGCCCAAACTCTGCTAAAAGCTGCTCCGGCTTGGTGCAAGCTTAGGGTAAGGGTGAGACTGTCTCAGAGCTGCAACCTGAAAGCGTTGGTGTGGGATCTGTGTACCGGGAGCAACTAACAAGTTCTGTTCTGCTTGAGGATGTGGTTTGGGAGTACCTCAGTGTTCCTTCTTGGCCTTCCCATGGCCGTGTTCGATGAAAAATGGTTGAGGACGAGCCATGCTGCATGCACGCTGGACAGCACATCTGGCTGAGCGGGGTGGAAGGAGCACCGCGTCTGCCAGCAGAGAGCGGTGCCGGCTGTGTGTTGGTGGGTACTCCGGCACAGCCACTGAGGCATTGCAAGTCTGACTGATGCTACGGTGCAACTACCCCACCTTTTGGGTAAGGATCTGGCCCTGGACCTCCATGTTGGCAGAGAGCAGCAGGGTAGGATCAACTGAAACTCCCAAAAAGGGTATTCTGGGTGTTATGACCGTGTTTTCCACGTGTTGTGATGCGCAGCCTAGTTTGAAGTCATGCTGAGATCACTCTGAAATGAGCAGTCTTGGATGCGATTTGTCTGGGTGCCTTTGGAGCAGCATATCCACCCATGCCATCCAGGAGCATGCTGCTGAGCAGTTGGCGATTTGCTCTGAGACCAGGCTGCTGCCGGTCTTCACCTTCTCTCCCCTTCCCGAAAGAGGCAGTGGGTTGGACACAAAGGCTCTGTGTGGGTAGAAAGGGGGATCGATGGCCAAAGCAAGCTGTGGTCCATCAGCTGGCAGGTACAGGGCATCCTTACCAGGCTGTGCTGCTGGCTGTTTGTGGGACAGACCTGACCTTACTTGTCTTGCACTTAACGCACTCTTACAGCGTGATGTGCATTGAATAGCAGTGCTGGAGCATCTTGTTCTTCCACCGCTTCCCTGCTGACCTCTCAAGAGCCAGGACCCTTTCTGGTATCAACACTGGGAGCAGGAGTCAGAAATTCTGCCACAACCCACATCCCACAAATTTCCGAGATCAATATACACGAGGGTGTGTATCTGACCTGCTTAAAGCAAGAAAACAAGCAGTAGTGGGTTTTTCTTCTCAAAAACCTCAAAACTCTCACAGTGCTGCTTTATTTTCTTGGAAGCCTCTGCAAGCCCAGAAGGGCAATGCTTATCGTCAAGAGGAGACAGACTTTCCTCATCTCCAAATGGAGCAGATTCAGACAGGCAAGAACCTGGATCATGACCAACACTGGTATCTGGTTTTGCAAAACTGAAGTCTACCCTTTCCTGGCCCCGGATTTGTCCATCTCTATTTATAGCCTTCACTCGGAGCCTTGCTGAAAAATGCATTATATATTGACAGTGGCACTTTGTGAACTCAGAGCTAATAGCTCCAGAAATAGTCACCTCGGAGATATCATAGTCTAACTTCTGCATATATTAAGTCTGACATTTGCTTTGCACAGCTATAAATTACAGTTGAAAACACAATGAAGTGGAGACTGAAACCCAATAATTGTGATTTACCATGCTGGATAAATTGGTGGTGGATGTAAAATTCCAGGAGACAGTGCGGTAGTGTGTCTTGGGCTGAGAGCCCTTTTTGTTAGGGCTGCGGTCGGTCTCTGGAGAACTGAGCTGTTAGCACTTAGAGCTGAGCTCTGCTGGTTTAGAGACCTCATTTAATCTCTGGCTCATTGGATGGTCTTCTGCCCTCTGAATCTCTCTGTGTCCTTTAATTTAAAACAGGTCTGCAGACATCTTCCCCCTTTCACCAAGAGCTCGGAGGCAAAGGTGGATGGATAATTGCAGTCATTAGGGGATGCCTGATTTGGTACCATCCACAATTTCTGCTGAGCCCCAGCTGTGCCCCTGCCTGTGGGGTGTTAGGAACCTTGGTGGCACCTTTCCCCCAGCCCTGGCACCCCAGGGGAAAAGCTGCCCTCTGCTTGGCAGGGGTGAGCCTGTGGCTCGCAAAAATCATTTCCCCGTTTCCACTGTCTTTTTCCTTCTTACTGTCAATAACGTAAATCCCATAACATGGTTAGTGCACAGAAGACCAGTAAATAATTTAGGAAGCAGCCTCTGTTTAGAGTGCATCAAATACTAAAATAAAGAACGAAAAATCCCCGCACATCAGTTACAGTAATTGGTGGAAGGCACCAGTCCGGAGGGTAATGAGCTCCATTTTTAAAGCACGAGGAAATTAGATTCTTATAAATGTCAAACGCAGTTATTGTCCTCTTTCCTTGAAACAGAGCTGAGCTGGCTGGAGCCCATTGTCTCTCAATCAGCTTTGCTATGGATTAGACACATCCCGTCTCACACCAGGAATGTGCTTGTTAGAAAAAATAACACTACACAAAGTGTACAAGCTTTAACACTCAACCAATGTACTAATGGGTACATTTACAATAAAACCCAATATCGTGTTACAAACCTTAAGTTGACCTGAGATAATACAATGCAGAAATCTTAAAGGATACAGATGAGTGTTTTCTTTGTGTGCTACAATTCTGACTACCTGGGGTTTTAGTCTTCAAATAAAGGGTATGAAGTGAGGGAAGGTGACTTTTCCTCTTGGCTACTTATGAAAAAAGCAAGCAGTAAGTCGTCTTCATAGTGAATATGCTTGTAATCAGGTCATTTCCAAATACTTTCTGTATTTTACTGGTGTCTCCTGGGTAACTGTGGCTTCACAGAGGACTTTCTCCATACACCTTTTTCCATCTCTCTCCTGGAAAAAAAAAGCAAGAGGTGGTTATTTGTTATACATCAAAGCTAGCTCTGTGAATTAGTTTTCATTCATTATGAAATCTCACCAGTATGTGTTAATATTCCACACTTCAGAAAAACGGGCATCAGTTGTTTGGGGAGGATAAAATGTGAGGAGGATAGAGGGCTTTCTGAAGTCAAACCCCTTTGCTGCATCCCTATTTTTAACTTCTTGCTGCAGGATAACAGTCACTTGTCCGTCCTTAGCTAGAGATAGTATCTAGTTTTCTCTCCGGGATAGGAGCTCTGTTGGGAAGTGGCACAATCCTTCCTGATGTGGGAAGGCTTAAGGATGGAGCCAAGCTCTCAATTGCTTTTTGCAGTGATGAGATACAGACTCAAGCTACTTGTGTGGACTTTACCACATACTAACCCAAACTCTGAATGATGCAGTACGCTGTTTCCAAGATGGTCGTGTGTCAAACACGTACTGTGGACATGCTGTGTTGGAGACCCTACTCGGAACTGCTGCAGGATGGTTTTAAAGATGATGTGGTGGGGGTAATGTGTGTCTGTGCTATCCCCCGTGCAGGAAACTCAGCTATTTGTTTTTGGGGGGCTATTCATTTTTCTGGAATCCTGTATTTACAAGTTCTTTTTTTCCAGTTGCCTTTTTAATAATGTCGAGTCTTCCCTCTGATCTTCTCCATCTCAGTTTGTGCTCCTTTTTTCATTTCTGCTTCTACTGAATGAAGTTCCTGGTGTTGCCCCTAGAAAACAAACAGTAACTTGAGACTTCTATTTTACACAAGCAACGGATATTGAAAGATATTCTTAGCATATGTCACCAGACGTGTGAACAGCACTTTCCAATTAAAACTCTAGGAATTTCTACTGGTTGCTTAAAAACCCTGCAAAACATTGAACCATATACTTGAATCCATTAACACCCATCATGGAAAAAAGATCCAGCTATTTATATGGCAGTCATTTTACTTATTTAAATTTGGTTTCATAAGCTAAAATGGCTCAACTGTTGGGGAAAACCATCTTGAGCATCTTATAAATATCTTCAAAGCCTGGAACAAGCACAACGCAAATTAAACTAGTTTTCTGTGATTTTGGACAACTTTTAGTTCTGATAACTTTCCTTAATGTCTGTGCTATAGCTGCGTCAACCCCTATAAATTAAATAAAGAAACAATTCAAGGCATCTCTGACGTAGCCTGGTGGTTAAATGGTAATCGGCAGCTGGTGATTAAAACATATATATGACTCAAATCACAAATCCAAAGTCAGCATTTACCTTCCACTATTCTCATTAGCTAAGCACTTTACTTAATTGGTACTCCAGCACAAGTGTTATTAATTGGCCGTTCTGGCCCAGGGATGCGAAGTGCTGCCTCCTCCCTGCCTGCCTCTCCCCGGGAAGCTCCACGGCCCTTTGCCAACTGCATTGCAAGTCTCTTCTCAGGTCGGTGCCAGCATTTTGCATGGGTGCAATGCTCAGGTAAAAAGCAGGTTTCCCACCTGCTGGAGGGAGCCCACATGTGCCTCCGTGACTGGTGTTTGTTCACTCTGGTCACGGGCACGTCTTCTTGCAGGCAGATCCGCCTTCAGGCTTTCGTACACCCTCAACTCTCCTCACATAGCCAAGATGCATGCTGCTTTTCCTTTCCCTTCAGTAATATGTCTCCTTCTGACCATTAAGTTTATTAAACCATTAACAGACACAAATTTTCTAACCAGCGTGCCTAGCTTGCTTGCAATATTTGTTGTACAGTTCCTGGCCCTGTTAGGTCTGCAGGCAGCCTGGCAACACATAGAGGCACCTTCATGTCTTCTCTGTAGGCTGCCCAGGTTTTACATGTTACTCCTCTCAGATGGTCTTCTGTGGTCCAGAGAAGCTTTTGCTTTTGGCTCTTCCCACAGAAAGCGGGTAGAGTAGTCCTCTGCCACTGTAACATGCGCAGCTCTGCTGATGCTTCAGACTGGTGGGGACACAGTATCAGGGAGGAGGACAGGAGCAGAGCGGGTGCTCGGCGGGGGCAGCCCCTGGCTGGGCTTTTTCTGCAAGCCTAGACAGCTCTCCCTGGGAGCACCTGCTCCAGCAGCACGTCTCCTGAAAGGGCTTTCTCTTCTTGGTGTTTTGGTTTTGGAAGCTGCTGGAGGGGGTGGATTAACTGGAGATAGGTGACCACACAACAGGCTGGGTAATCCTGTTTTTTCCTGTGGTTTGGCCTTCTGCCTTAAGTAACCCCATCTGATGGGTATATTTATTTATTCCAACTGTCTGTGGCTGGTGTACTCGTGTGTCAGGGTGTCCTTATGCCCAGTCGTGAGTGCTTGTCTGCTTCACACCGGCACAGAACAGTGAGTCTATGTGCCCTTAGATGGGGAACCTTCTTATATAATGCCACAACTGTATTACTCCATGTTAAGCAATTGTTTTCTTCTTTGGGGTCTGATGGCTTTTAAGCACACAGCACCTGCACGGTAAAAACTACTGGGCTTTGCAGGCAAAAGAAATCATTCTGCTATCAGCACATGGATGTTACGAAATGTTGCTGTGTTTGTACAACAGTCAGTTTTCCAATATTAACTCAGCTGTTTCCCCTTTATTTTTAAAATACCACATGGGTCCAGTCCTCTTTATAAACCTAATTTTAAAGATCACTGGAGATAGAGCAACAAGACTAAGAAAGATGAAGCCTTACTACTAAGCCTGGAGACTCTTGAGTGCCAAGTTTTAGCCAAAGTCATTTTAGCATCAAGTGAAAGACAGAGGAGCAGAAAGAAGCATTAATGATTGTAAAGGGCATGCTGCAGGCTCACTCCAGTCTAGGTGCCAAAGCCTTAGATGGGATTTTGCGTGGGGAGGACGAGTCCCTCGGTCTCGGGAAGCTCCTGACAGTACTGCATTGCAGTCTAACCCATTAGCAGTCTCCAGATGGCACAAAGACCTGCCTTTGTCCCGTTCAACTTTAAACTGAGGCACCTACTTTAACAGTGTACTTGTACAAGGTTTTTTCTGTAAAGTGGCTGGAGAGCGAGGACGTGCTAGAGAGAAAGAGGCACCTCCAGAGAGCAGATCAATCTTGGATGAGATGATGCCCCCAGTGTATCTGTTATAGACCTACATCAGCTGTCCTGGCAGCCCATGGAGACCTGCTTTTGCCTTTTAGGCTTGGGCTTCAGGGTTAATGGGATGACTCACAAATGCCACATGGCCGAATCATGAAAATTGAGCAGAAAAAGTGGCTTAGGTGGATCACGTCTGCCCCCTCCTTTATTCCCTGAAGCCAGCACCACTCTTAGGAAGGTATGACAGCCAAGGCATGTGCTGCTATTGCTCTGAGGCTGCTGCAGTGAGGGTGAAGGACTAATCACCATCACATCTCCTTTCTCTGCTTTCTCTGCCGTGGCAAGTATAATTTGGCAGACCCCAAGAGTAGGGCTGCTGGAGTTATTTCTGTTGGTACATGGTGCTGGAAGACAAGTACCATGTCACCTGCTTTAGCTTCCTGTGTTTCTTCTAGAAATGTTTGATTTATCACATTAAATAAATAAATGACCTGTGGGACATGCAAAATTCAGAGCTGTCTAACAGGTCTTCACTGTGTCTTCTACATTTGTTAATGCTTGCTGGGCATCTCTGGGTAACCACAGTGAGGAGATTTCACCGAAGACGAAGATGCTGCTGGGTGGGATCAGGTTCACGGGTTTCTGTGGGTGAGCTCATATTTATATTGATATTCTGCAAGCTCTAGTCGTAAGCTTTTGGTGAGCAGTTGGTTGTGTGTAGGTGCTTCTTTTGGCTTACAAGGCACAAGACGATGGTGCTTGAACGTAGCGAGCGTTAGCCCCTCTTATGGATGGCCAATGACGTGAGCCTCTAAAGAAACAGGTTCTGCTCTAGGCATCCTCAGCAGCCCTCACTGGGAAAGAGGAAACCTACTGAAGCTGCATGCCCCGCTCCCGTTATGAGCTCCTTTCATCAGGACATGGGCTCGGCAGCCCCAGGCTCCCTGCCACGCCTGCGGCTCTCTGCGGCGAGCAGCCAGCCACACAACATGTAGACATGAAAGTTCTTGTAATTCTGTAGCAAGGTAGCTCAAAAATGCTAGGAGAACTAGTGCTCAGTAAAGTTGCAAAACTGTAAAGAAAATGAATATTTACTGATTTGGGGATTTTTTTTTTTTCCCCCCCTTGACTGAAGAGGGGGCTGGGGTAGAGCTGCCACCTCCATGGCTGGTAGAGCTGTGTCTTGTGTTTGAGCAGCGTGGAAGGAGAGAACGTCTCTCCTACTTGTCCTTTTTCCTGCTCAAATCCAAGGGACAGGATTTGCAAGAGAGGATATTACTGTGCAGAGGGACCGGACTTAACATGCGTTTTGGACCCTCATCTGTCTCCTCTGGATGCTGCATGGTTCCTGTGCAAAGGCAAGAGCCTGATCGCTGCCACTAGACACCCTGTCCCCTCCAGACCACAAAGGCCTCTGGAGAGAGTTGGGGAACTGCGATAGGCAGCGATCCATCTTGCTAAAGGCCTATTGGAGGACTTTAATTCTTGTTAACGATATGTATTTCTGGTAGGTTAAGTTTTTCAATGATACAATATATTCTAAACAGCTTTCTTTTAAACAGGTTGAAGCTATGAAGAGAGTACTAGAAAGTCTCAACCTCAATATAGTAGAGATGGTAGATGAAAATGCAACCTTGGATGGTGGAGATGTCTTATTTACAGGTATAGTGGTAGTGAATTTGCTGTTTACATATTCTGACTGCTTCGAAGACTGCATGTTATCTGTCATCAGGGTAATAAAATGCCGTTCATGTGGTTTGTTAAATCAGTTGTTTACTAAATGTCACGAAGGTAGCTGAGAGATGAATTTTCAATGCAGCCCTTGATGTCCTGCCTAATGCCTGAATAAATGAAGTAGCAGTACACAGAGTACAAAGAGCAGCACTGTGCATACAAATTTTATTTTAGCTTGTAAAGTGCCAATAAGAAAAATGCTTTCAGCAGTCAACTGCCTGCAGTTGTTTCATATTTCTTATTACAAGCAACTACGTTCACCAGACTTATTTTCAGGACTTGTAAAAGCTTGATGGAGACAATTGTCACTAGTTCAATGCATTTTTAGTTTATGGAGAAAGTGTTGGAGTTACCTGCCAGATGTCATGTGCTAGACAACTTACGTGCATACTGACTTCAAAGATGAAGATACTGACTGTGTTTTTTATGTCATTAAACCCATTAGGCATTTTCTCACATCGGCTGCGCACATGCTTGCTCCCCGCCTGTGCTGAATGAGCCTGTTTATTTTGATCAGCATCACAGTAGACTGGCTGCTTGCCTTAGTTCACCAAGGGGAAAGAAGGGTCTCAAAAGAGGCAGACCGGGAAGGGAGGACTTTCTAATGCAGTGCAGATCCAGCACTGATTTCCTCTGGAGCTGGAGGATGCCGGTGGCTGCAGAGCTGCCTTCCAGACCAGAGGAAATCTCAGAGGGAGGGGGAAATGGTCAATCGGTGCTGTACTAATCCAGCCCAGCTGTTCTCTTTCCTGACTCAATGACCATTGCAGAGCTTTAGAAGAGGAAGCTATTTATGCTTCTGGTGAAATGTGTCTTCTGGAAAAAGATAATTGCTTTAAATTATCAGCTCACGATTGCAGGTTGCGTTCTTCTAAGCTGAATTTTCAGTTTCACTGTTCAGCTTGAGAAAAGGAACATATAAAATGATACCCATGAAAGACTGCTTCAGAATGTCTCTAAAGATGGCCTGTTTTTAAAATGTTCTGATGGAGGAGCTGATGTAGTGATTTTTTTGGATGGCTTAAAAAAAAAAGCTGTAATTTTTTTGCCCTTCATTTTTTCGTTCCAGGCAGAGAATTTTTTGTGGGTCTTTCCAGGCGAACAAATCAACGTGGTGCAGAAATTCTGGCTGACACATTTAAGGTTTGTAGATTCATTCATGCCACAGGAAATATAAGCTGTCATCCACTGAACCAATTTAAAAATTATACTGGCCAAGATGTTTGTCATACTCAAAGTGCTTTCTTTAGGACTTATTGGGGGGGGCGGGGGGAAGGTACAAGTTATTGAAAAGGTTTGAGCATCCTGTAAAGTGAAAGATGCTGAAGCTGGATCTGAAATGTGAGATCACTGCATAAAAGTAACTTGGATAGTGGGAGGCTGTTATGATTTGAGAGCGTATCAACACTCACGTTCTTAATATTCTCATGTATCGGCAACATTGCTGGTCCCTGGAGAGGTTTTATGTACATATTGTTTAATTACGCATTTTAATGTATTTCTTTACAGTTGCAACAATAGTAATATTTGAAACATGTTCTGGATTTTACTCCAGTGCACCAGACAAGACAAGCTGGTCCAGAGGGGTATGTCATACTTGAACAGTTGACATTGTGCCCTGGGATATGTTGCTATTGTTAATTTGCAGAGAGTAAAATTAATTATGGAATGTCTCAATATAATTATGGAACTAGGACAATTTAAAAATATTTATAGCAACCATTCTTTGCTCCCGTACAGGATTATGCTGTCTCCACAGTTCCTGTTCATGATTCTTTGCATCTGAAGAGCTTTTGCAGCATGGCTGGACCAAACTTGATTGCTATTGGATCAAGTGAAGCTGCGCAGAAAGCCCTCAAGGTAAAGCACATAAGAAAATTTTCTAAACAACAAACTTGGTTTTTTTGTTCTTAATCTCTGCTCAAGGATGCTGGGAATTTTGAAATAGATAGAGATCAATGAAAGAGGAAATCAGTACATCTCAGGGTATCCTGTATGTGCAAACCATAAAGAATGTTTATATCAGGCAAGAGAACAATTATGTTAATTTTGCTTTAGCTATCTTCAGGAAATAAATGGATTATACAGGTTAAAATGAATTATGCAGGTTATTGCTTACAGCTTTGTGGACTAAAAAGGTGATAATTTGGTGATAGGAGGGAGGAAGGAGATACCATCAGAGCAGTAGGAGATGTTTACTTCAGACGTTGTCATGAGGAAACGTGGCTTTTAAAATTGCCAGAGGGGAAGTAAAAGTTTTGGCATGAAAGAGGAGGGAGAGGGGTCTGATCCCTGTTGTGAAGATGACCTGTGTACACATTTTGCAGTGTAGACTTTCTGGATAAGATCGGTAAGTAACTCCAGCCACAGGGACCGGAGTCCAGGACTCCCCATCCCTCCTTCCTCCATCACCTGGCTGCAAAGTCAAGTTCCTTCCTGGTCACGCTTTCTCCTCTCTGGTCTCATGAGGGTCTCATAACAGCATGGCAGAAAGGAGGGAGCAGAAAGGAGTCTCATGACAGCCTTGATAATAATTTGAGTCTCTGAACATTTTCCTTTAAAGTGGGAGGTGTGGGTTTGAACGCTCAGGCTAAGAGGCCTCGTGAGTCTGGGTCTGTCTTTGCTGGCAGACTTGAAGTAATCTGTCGTGTAGCAGGTCAACGCTGTACTACCACCATCATCCTCAATGGGAAATGTTTATCGCTGCTGTGGTTTGCACTGGGCTCAGTGGCTTTCCTGCCTGCTGGGTGTGTTCAGAGCAAATCTACCAAATTAAGCTGTTTCGGAGATGTGGGCACAGAGACACCTGAGGCCATGAATCTCATTACACACATAGGCAATGAGACAGCTTACCCGAGAGATCAGCATCTCTGCTCCTGCACGGTAGCACAGCTGCAGGCACTGATGCTGTGCAGCAGAAACTTTGGCTGGGGCACCAAAACAGCGAAGGGCTACTGAGACTTTACCTGAAGTTAAGCTTGAGGGAGTTTGTCCCTCTTGATAAATGGTTTGGTTTGAGATGCAGGTAAGCCAGAGCATGTCTGAAAACATTACAGCTAAGTGTCTTAGGCATTTTTATCAGGATTTGCCTTCAAAGGTTAAACTAAAATCTACTTTTCAGTGATGGCAGCAAGTTCCAAATTTTCAGCTTATGATTATACTGATTCTTTTGCCAATAAATAAGAACCTAAGTGCAAGCTTTGCTCTTTGGCTTTGCAGAAGCCCCCTTGATGCAACATGATCACTAATGCATGGAGGAAGCCAGCTGTGTGTCCCTTACAGTAAATGAGGAGGGGTGGAAACAGCTCTGCTTACCTAAGGAGAAGGCTCTCTAAAATCCGCTCAATTTAAATGCAACTTACGCAGCCTGACTTGTAACTCTTGCCCTGATTCTGAAGCATGAATTATTTTAAAGAACAGCACTGCTATCGGTGCCCAAGGCTACTGATCTGAATCTGTGCCAGGAGAACGTTTACAATAGAAGTAATATGTAACTCTGAAATCAACATCTCTGGCGCCCAAAGAGCTTAGGAACCCATCCTGCACATCTTGTACACCTCCTCGACTTCAATAAGCTAGTGATATTTATTACTTTAAAATCTCCTTAAGTATTTGCAAGATGGAGGCCTGAGCGACTTCTTGTCCTTACTGCCATGCTGCGATACTTCATTACACATTTTCTTTTCAGATCTTACACATTTTCCTCATGGGCGTAATCCTAGGACTTTTCATTTCCCAGCAGCATAATTTTTACTATCGGAGCTCGGCAGAGATTTGGTGGGGTTTTTTTTCTTTTTTATCTTGTCACAGTTCAAGATTTAAAATGTCTCAGTCCCCAGCTAAGATAAAACCAACATTTCAAATCTCAGAATCTCCCCTGCTGGACATGGGTTGAATTATGGAGGCCAGGAAAGTGCAGTCCTGGCTGGCTCAGACTTGCAGCCTGGCAGCAATTAAGGGAATAGGATAGCAGCCTGATTGCTCTGCGGGAGCTTAGGGGAGCTCTTAAACAAGAGAATGGTCCCTTGGCTTCCCATGTCGTTTGGAATGGCTTTAAGTTTGCTCATTCATTTGAACAAGCTGTCGAAGTTACTCTCTTATTAGAAATCATTACGTGAAGCTCTGGGAGCACATTCCCAGCTTATCACCCATGTCTTCTCCCCTGAGAAACTTATGACAAATGGTTTTGGTTGTAAGGTCAGGTGTTCCTGATGCTGTGAGATTGATTTAGTCTGGGATGGAAAGTGCCCTGCATCTTTCCCTGTGAAATACGCACTATCCCAAATATTCAGGCTCAAACTCGAAATGCATCGTGAGCAGCAGCCTGATGAAGTTTGCAGATATCCAGACAGCCCTACGCTTGTATAGAGTGTTTATAAACATGAGCAAAATTCAAGTACAATACCGGTTGCTCAGAGCTGCAATTTGAACTTGAGCCAGGACTAATCTGAGAACTCATCAGTTTGATTAAAGCCTTTTGCACAGCTCAGCTAATCGTGTTGCAGTGCATCAATTTAGCTATTGTAGCCAAAAATATTTTTTGGATAAGCTGATTAAATGTTGCTGGTAACTAGCTGTTAAGTAAATACCAGCATTAATCAAGGTACAGTAAAAAGCAGATACATTTTTAAAAGAAAATGGTAATTAACAAGATAATCTAGCAGTCTTTGATTGTTAGTGGATATCTTTTAAAAAATAAATCAACTATGTTAGTTTTCTGTGTATTTCTGTGCATTGGAGATTTAGCAGCACATTTACATGTGTGTGACGGTTGTGTTTGCTCGCACCTTGCCAGCTGAGGTTAGGGACTCTGGCCTGGAACAGCGGTCTTGTGCCCTAGCACGTGCCCTTCTTGCGCTCCCAGCGAGCTGACAGGTTACATCAGGCAACCACGTTGCAGTAGAGCAACATATGAAGTTACCCAGAGTGTGTTTCTTGCTCAGTGTATTGGATCCAACTCCACTCTCATCCTGGGGAACCTCCAGCTGTTCCTCCAGGAGTCTAAATCTCTTCAGAGAAATTATTGGAAAACAAATAGGTAAAGCGTCTGTCTCAGAAACGATGGAGTTGGCAGTGCTGCTTTTCACTAGCTTCCTCTAATGTTTGAGCTCTTGCTTTTTGACCTCAGTGATTTCTTCGTATTTGTTCATTTGCCTCCAAAGAAAAAAAATTCAGTTGGTAATCAGCTTCTTGCAGTCTTGTGGAAATGCAGTTGCCGTAGGATCTCTGAGGCACTGATACTCAGAATTAAATGCTGCTCCCTGGATTTCACCAGATCGACTGAGCTATAGCAGTGCTGTCAGCTGCTCCTCTCGTTACCCATCGCAGTCTGTGTGGCAGTGCGGTCCCCTGAGCTTCTACTGAGTCATTTGCCTGGCACAGCCCAGCATGCCACTCCTTTGCTGTGATAGCTTGTTATTTTAAACCTCTCCTTTGTTGTTGCCATTTTTCATGTCTGCTCTGGAAATGCAATCATACAAGCAAGATGATTAAGCTTTCTTTAACCATCTCTGGTGGTTGAGTTGTTTCCATTCTGTAGCATGACTTGTTAGGCAACAAGTCAACTGCTATGTCATGCTGTGCTAACATTTTATATTTAAAATAGGCTTTATCTTCCTCCTAACAATCTTGTTTGAAAGAGAATTTTTTCTTGATTGTTCTTACTGGTGCAACTCATGTATCCTTACAATACTTTAAAAATAGAAAAAGAAACTGCATCTGGTGCTCATATATGGCAGAGTGCAATTGATCATGAGTTTAGTGCTGTGTGTGTAATGTAAAGCGCTGCAAGTGAGCTAGGAAATAAGTGCACAGAGTTTAGGATTATAGAGCACATGCTAGAAGCAGATAATAAATCAGAAGTGACATTTTAACCATTAAATCCTCTTCAGGCTCTGGCAAGTATAGAATATTTGGGCTGCAGCTGAAGAGTGGCACTCGAGGAAACTGGGCGAGAGAGAGAGACAAATGAACTGCAGAAACTCCTGGGGCCTGTAGTGCCTATCACATCTGAAACTTTAACTTCCTTCTGCTGTTTTCAGCATGCATTTAATTCCTTCTTGTAGTTAAACCCGATCACAATTCCGTACACATAACTCCATAGCTGGACATTGGCCATAGCTGTTGAGCCAGTAAAGCCTGGGATTATTTTTCTGTTCCCTCAGTGAAGCCAGGATTTCCTCCAAACATGTCACCTTTGGGTTCTGATCCTGCACTGTTGGAGTCATGGACCTTTACCGTAAGCACAAACGAGGACAAATTCAGGCTGTGATGGCGCTGGCCCCGGTGCGGGGAAGTGACGGGGCAGCACTGCGGACGAACGCTCTGCACTGCTTTTTCCACAATGAGGGACACAGCCCTGGGGTCTTGCTGGGACAGCAGATGAGCAGGAACAGGCCCGGGACGTAATCCAGTTCAGGTTCCAGCAGCAAAGGCAAATGCTAGGCAAGATGACAATGGGAACCGTGACACAGCATCTGTTACACACTCCTTTCTGTACTCTCTCGCTCTATACTAAATCCTGAAAAGCCACATTTCTGTCTGTTGGCTGTTCGTGTTGGTTGGTACAGAGCACAAATCTCCTCTGCTTTCTGTGATGAGTGAAGACTTGGACAGCAGCAGATGATGGTAGACAGAGTCTTTGGTTTAAGCAGCTTTGGCTATGGTCAAACCATTCTCTGACACTTTTTGGATAACTCTGTAGCAATCCCAAAGGATCTGAGGGTTATAGGTGTTGTTCCCAGCTTTGGCAAGCTCCACTATTCCCTTGCAAGCAGTACATGTTGAATTTGTAGCAAGTGCCTGCTAATGAAGTTGTTCTCTCACCTGCTGGGAAATGAGGGTTGTCCTTTGGGTAGGCT